GGGCGGCGGGACAGCCCAGACGCCCAGCAGCCCAGGGAGACAGGGAGCAGCTTTTCTCGCCCCGGAGGACGCGGGCAGTGGGACTGCGGCGCATCTGGGCGTCCCGCCGCTCGCGTCCTCCGGGGCAAGAAAAGCCCCTTCCCTACCTGCGGATCCGACATAAGTCGGATCCGCGTAACTCAGGGACTGCCTGTACTGTGTACGATCTGCAGGACCATATTTGATCTTTATCATTTCCACCTACTCTAGCAGTATTTATTTTGTTATGTATTAACAGCTATTTAAAAACAAAATTGAATCAGACCACTTGATATGAACTTTATTTACATTTATCAATAAAATGTATTCCTACATTAAACCTCCTCTCTTGTGTCCTAATAGCCGTAATTAATAAGTGCTTTTCCTTGTAAGAGAAAACAAGAACATTTTGCATTTGTTTTCATAAGCTTTTACTTAGAACAAAATATTCCTTCAGGCATATAAATTAGGGATGTTAATTTTTGTTTAATCAACTAGATGATGGATTTTCCATCAACTAATCAATTAGTCAATAAGCGAGGGAGCCGCAGCGCTGTTAGTTCCTGGCCTCGGGAGCTAACTCCGCTGAGGCTCTGCCTTTTAAATGTATTAAGAGACTGACAGCTCTTAATACATTTAAAAGGCTGAGCCACAGCGGGTTTAACTCCCGGGCCTGGGAGCTAATCCCACTGCGGCTCCACAGTTTTCCCCACTTATTGACTCAATTGACTAGTCGATGGAAATTCCATCGACTAGTGGATTAGTTGATTGAACTAAATTTAACAAGGCCCAGATGCTGACATTTAAGGCTGGTGCACAGCGGGGGGGAATCCAGCATGAACTAGGGCAGTGGAATCCTGGCTCGCACTGGGTCCCACCCCACGCTGCCCTTTAGCCTCTTAAATGTATTAAGAGCCTACTGGCCAGGCCAGCTGATTTCTGGCTCACACTGGGTCCTCCTGCTGCACACCACCCTTAAATGTAAAAAGGCTGGAGTACAGTGGGGGGACCCGGCATAGGAGCATATTTAATACATTTTTTAGTTCAAATAGGTGTCATTACCTGTGTTTCCCTTTTCATCTTCTCTGATGTGCAAATCTTTCATCGAGGTCTCCAACTCTAGCAGATCTCTAAGTTCTTCCTTGTAGACCTCTATATAAGATACTTTCACACTGAAGTCGGTATTATGGTTTTCAGAGATGCTCTGAAATATTCCTTGTATAGCACGTGGAATGATACCTTTTTCATCCTCTGCAACAGATGCTAAAATATAAACAGAAATGCAGTAAATGTATCTTTAGTATAAAGTTTAAACTTCTGAAATGTGAACAAAAGTCTGTGGCCTACAGCACTAAGCTGCCAATGAAACTGAAGAATTTAGTCCTGTCAAAAAGTCACATTATATTCATAACGTTGAATGGCTGAATATTTGTTGACAATCCTTAACAAGATTCATATTCAAGCTCCAAGAAATTACTTGTTAATGTAAACCAGTGAGCAACATGGTGGGTGGCTCAGGTTTACAACAGTGATGCATTTGACTAATATGTTTCTCACAAGCCACATTTCACATTCAGGGATTACTGATGACTACCTCAATGACTACCTCAATTTCAGCAGGTATCTCTTGCTCCAATAAGGATTTAATGGCAGTTCATAAGTGCCCATGTGCCAGAAATAGGAGACAGTATTTAGGAACACTTCTTATTCATTCTACCAACATATAGCTCACCAATGCCATGTCAAACTCCTGCTTTTAAATATCAGCAAAGATCTCAGATATTATTTATTCCACGGTATGGAAGTTGGTTGGGTATATATGAGAGGCTTCTGAGTGGCTCATGCCTTCTAACCAAGAAAATGAGAAGTTGTCCCAGCTAATCAGTGACTATGGGTAGATCTACACTGAATGCTTATTTCAAAATAAGCTATTCCGGAATAGTTATTCCAAAATAGCTTATTTTGAAATAGCACTTCTATACTGCAGGGAAGCCTCAAAATTAGTCCGAGGCAGGCTTCTCTAATGTAGATGTGCTATCTTGATTAAAGCCCCAAGAGGCACTGGGGAGGAATAACTTAGAATGGCCCTTGTGAAGGGCTATTTCAAAATAGCAGAAGTGGAGCATTTACACACGCCTAATTTTGAAATAGCTATTTCAGAATAGGCATTATTCCTCATAGAATGAGGTTTACAGATTTTGGAATAAGCTGTCTGAAATTATTTTGAAATAATGGAATGGCTGTGTAGACGTTCGCATAGTTATTTCAAAATAACATTAGTTATCTTGAAATAATGGCGCAGGGCTGGCTTGGATACACCCTTAATCAATGTATGTAAAAAAGTTGCCAAGCTTTTGAATAGCCTCCCCCTAGTAAGGGATACATCTTCTTAATTATGGAGGAAAGGAATTTTTATCTTCATACTGGATTGGTACTGGACCAGATAAACAATGCCCCCACTGCTAGTTTTGATGCCCCAGCAGACAGTGTAAAATATATTAAGGGTTTAATTTGGGTTGCTGGACCTATGAATAAAATATTTTTAAGTGAGTGATTACTTCATGAGACTGAAATGGATGACCTCACTGTTAGACTGAATATGGGAAATGAGGACTGTCAAGTGTTAGATGCGGACCAAGTGAATGGTTTATTATTTTTATCTTTAGCTTTTACCAATAGCACGTTTGATAATTTAATAATAGATTATTTTAATCCACATATTAAATATTTAGACACTTTGGAAGACCCATATTTTAGTGAAGGGAGACATTTTAACAATAATTTTTTATCTACTGTTTTTAATAAGGGTTAATTTTAGAAATTTTACAAATAGTGGTAAATTGAAAGATGAGATTTTCTATCTGAAATATCCTCATAGTATTCAAGTGAAATATTTAAAGAGCACAAAAATATTCTGAGCACTGAAGTACTACAATGATAGTACACTAAGGTAGATTAGATACTACAGCATATAGATTAGATTGATTTGCTTAGCATTGCTGGTTTTAGATATTACTAAATAAAGTTAAGAGCAAACAGGTTAAAATAAATGAGAACTTGATTCTCAAGCATAGGTTGAGATTAAATTTGGAAGATAAGGGCAAAGCATCACAAATAATCCTATTTTAAATGTGGGTCAAATCCTGAAGCTCCCACCAACCTCAGATCAGTGGCTGGCATTGACTTAGTGTTCGGGGGGTGCAGAGGAAAAGCACTGCACTTGATATTTCTCAAGGTACTTGAGTACAGTCTAATTTAAGACAAACCCCTTTTCTGGATAGTTCATCTAACTCATGTTTGGTCAGTAGAGTATATTAGTTTAGAATAGGGATGTAACAGTGTTGTGGTATAAACAGGTAGCTAATAAACATGAGCTTATTGGTTAGCCAAACTCAGCTCCTGGTCTGGTGCCCCAGGAGTGGGGTGAAAGGTGGGAGCTGGTACGCGCAGGGTTGGTTTAGAAGCCAGTTCCCGGGGAGCAGACTGCGCATAACTGTGTAACCACTGAAATTTTCAGCACTTACACAGTTAATCAATTACATGTATTTTAACGTCCCTAGTTTGTAGTAGTGTTTTCCATTTAGCCTTTTTTTTGTCAATAACATAGAGCTTCAAAACTGATTGGCAATGAGCACTATAGGAAGTTCTCAGATACAGACAGACTTTAGCATTGTTTATGCTGCATAGATACAGTTGTAGGAATTACTTACTGCAAGTGAAGCCAGCCCAGTGTTCTAATGGGAAAAGTCAATCAAGTAGCAAGAAAACAAAAAAACCACACACACATAAAATCTCAACAACCAGTCTGAACCACTATTCGCCTCATGTTCTTAAATATACACCTGCAGAATATAGTTGTTATAGTTATAGTTTATTTTACAACTATGGCATCGCTTGCCATGTGTTATTTATTTGGTTTAGGCAAGTACACTGGTCACAATCACAGAAACAAAGTAAACTTTGCAACACATACCAATATGACCTCCACCAATGGTGTATGTCTTCCCAGACCCTGTCTGTCCATAAGCAAAAACTGTGGCATTATATCCTTCAATTAAAGACACAACTAATGGTTTAATGCAAGTTCTATAAACTTCTTCTTGGGTTGAATTTTTGCCAAATACAAAATCAAAAGTGAAGACACGGTCTTTCCCAATGATAACTTGCTGTGTGTTCGGGACCAGTCTCACACATACTTGATGGTTATGAAGAATCTCTTTGGAAAGCAGTGGTCTTATTCTTACAGCAACTTTTACTGGAATCTCTTCCATGACAGCCTCCAGTTTTAATACTTGACCTAAAATGTTTTCTTATGGTTTTTGTCTTCACGACATTTTCAATCTTCTGCATCTAGAAACAAAGTTTTCTGAATTATAAAGTGAACATAAGTTCATTTCCCAATGACTTACTCAACTTTTCATTTTGGAAAAAGATATCTAAAGAATATTTGAGTAAGTAAGTGTCTGTCCTGTAAAAATGGCACAGAATGGTCCAGTCCAATATTTCTTCAGTTAGTAATTTCTCTTTCTCTCTTAATTACAAGATCAGCAAATTCAACCTGAAATCTGAAAGTCAGGTGTTTTTTCTGAATATGGCATCATTACATTAGTCAGCAGTTCTCCACCAGGGGTATGCCCTCCTTCCAAGGTTTACTAAACTTTCTATGGGGCAGTTCTTCCCATTCACTCACTGGGTTGCAACACCACTCAGTGAAATTTGGTGCATTTGCCACTCCATCTGACAGTGGGGTGCCACCAACAAATTTCACTGAGTGCTGTTGTGATTTAGCACAATACCCACTAGAACTCTTCAATACTGAAATTGAGAAATACTGCCTTGAAAACTTTGTGGATATTAAGATGTGCTTTTGGCCTAGCCTATGCACAGTTAGACAGCAGGATCAAAGGACTGATTTACGTCAAGCAGAATCCCCTTTACTGGAATCAGTCTATTAATAGTTCCAGTTCTACCTAGATTATATTAGAAAGTGCCATTTGATAAGGAGGGTAAGAAGAGTGGAGCTCCAAGAAGGAAAAAAAAAGCTGTGAGGGGGAAGGATGACATGATTCCAAAAAGGCTGAGAACTTCTACATTAAGTAATAAAAATAATACCATGAAAGCTTACTTATCAATTCTATTGATGAAGCATGTGCTCACAAATAATCCAACTCACTCTTCCACAAGCTATCTTGGCTCTGTAGGGGATACAGAAATAAAAGCACATTAAAAATGTCTTCCACTTAAGATAAGCAGATGGGATTTGAAAAGCACATGAGAAGCAGGTTGTATATGATAAGAAAGTGTGATTTTAAATACTCTGATTAGTCTGATGCAGAAGTCAGTCCTTTTTAATCCGTGTTAAGTACATACCTAATTAAAATGAAAGTTTTTTGTTTGCATTTTTTTAAACAGGTAACTTATAGCAACTGTGGTTCCACTCTTGTAGAATGGATGAATGTTTTCCCAGTGATTTTTAAGAAACTTCTGGAAACCTGAGTTTGTCAGACATGGATAGACACTCTCTTAGGACACTATAGATTCAAAGCTGACGTTATGGAAAGGCTGTGTGACCCCAATCACTTCTGTTCCAAGAGTCCTATGAAAGCAGAAATGAGAGGAAGAGGACATCTTTGTGGGTTCTATTGTTTGATGGAATTCCATATACAGGTTGGACATCGCTTATCCATGGGACTGGACCAGTCCCGAACTAGGGATGTAATAGTGTAATTGATTAACCAATAAGCAAAAGGTTATAGGTTAATGCTGTAGACTACAGGCATTTCCCCCCAGACCCCACCAATAAATTTTTTAGCAGGCTGGCCAGCAGGTCCAGGACCTACCCCTGCTGCAGCTCTGCATTTAAAGTGTAATAGGAGCCAAGCAGGCAGGCAGCCCGGCTCAGTTCTGTCTTGCACCAGTTCTGGGAGCTCAGACGCTCCACTAGATAGGGGCTGCTGCCACCCCCGGCTGCTACTGCTTTATCAGAGTCAGTAGCAAAGGGCGACAGGCAGCTGGTCTGTGAGGGCAGCTCCCACCTGGCACCCCACACTGCTGCCTCTGATACAGAGACAGTAGCAAGGAGTGGCAGAGGGCTCCTTGGGAGTGAGGCTGAAGCACACTGGCTGCTGGCCCTGCCCCCAGGGACTATATAACAGTCGACTAACGGATATGAGTTCATGAGGTTACTCAACTATTCAATATTTAACATCCCTATTCTGAACCAAGGAATTTGCTGGACTAGAGAAGTTTCCCTGCCCCAGCCCCCAGCTGCTGATTCTGCCAGCTCCGCATATGTGTGAGGGAAGCGGGGGAACTACCTCTAGCCCCTGCTGGGCTGCCTGCTGGGTTGCTGGCTCTGCTGCCATTGCCCAGGCCGGACACCCTGCCATGCTCCAGCAGCCCACACTGCCACAGACTGTCTCAGGCTCCAGCCTCACGCTGCCATGGGCTGGCTCTGGCCCTGGTCTGGTTGTCAGGGGCTGCAAAGGATTTTGGCTCCTGTCCCAGCCCCACAGCAGTCCAGGGGCTCTGGCTCTGCTTCCACAAGCTATCCGGAGCTCCAGCCCCATGCTGCCGAGGGCTACTAGGGCTGCTACCAGCCCCAACCCTGGCCCCACTGCCGCGGGCTGCTAAAGACTCGGGCTCCTGCCCCATGGCAGCCCACAGGGCCTGGCCCCTCTTTTGCAGGTTGCCAGAGGGTTTAGCCCCAGACCGCATTGCCACAGGCTGTCAATGGCCCAATCCCGCGCTACCGAGGGCTGCCCCCACCCCGTGCCACAAGCAGTGGAGGGCTGCTGCTGGATCCAGCCCCAACTGTTGGGGGCTGCTGACAGTACCAGACTCTGCCCCGTCCCACTGCTTCAGCCCGATCCCTCCTAGATTGCCCTCCTGCCACTAGATTATTGGGGCTGGACCATAGATGTTGCTGGATGGGAGAATTCTGGTTTTGGGAGGTGCAACCTGTATGAAAAAATGCATTTTTTTCATTAAAAACCCCCCACAAAATTCAAATATGTGAAAATCCTGAGTGGGGTAATAGAGGCATTAAATGAAATATTTCACAAGATCTATCTAAACATTTTCAGCATATATAAAAAAATGGATTGTAGTCTAATAATACACAGAATAGTGCAAGCACAGAGCAGAAATACGACTGTTTGCAGTGTAAAGAGTAGAAAGAATTCTATTGTGTGATAGCTCAGCACAAGCAAACCCCATCCACTGTCCACACAAAGTATTTTTTTTAGTTTATTTCTACACAGAATTGTTTTTAGTCTGAAAAAAATATCACAAACTCTTTAGATACCAATTGAAATATAAATCAGTGTTTACACCTACCAAGTGTATTATCCTTTACCTTATTAAACCACCAACCAACCACCATCTCCTTTACCTTGCTATCGCAAAGAATTATGGAAAGTTGTGGAAAACACAATGAATGCAGAGCCTTTAATTAATAGATCAGGTCACTAAAATGGGCATCAGGATATCTAACTTCTGGGTCCATGTAGCTTTCATGTAATATGTAGCAACTGAAATGTTTAAAACAAGGATACAGCTAATAGCTCTTCCTTTGTTCACCTAGTGCCAATATTATGCAGAAGTATTATACTAATATATTGGCTTATGATCACAAATATTCTATTTCCCTATACAGGCAGTCCCCGGGTTACGTACAAGATAGGGACTGTAGGTTTGTTCTTAAGTTGAATCTGTATGTAAGTCAGAACTGGCGTCCAGATTCAGCCGAGGATACAGCTAATAGCTCTTCCTTTGTTCACCTAGTGCCAATATTATGCAGAAGTATTATACTAATATATTGGCTTATGATCACAAATATTCTATTTCCCTATACAGGCAGTCCCCGGGTTACGTACAAGATAGGGACTGTAGGTTTGTTCTTAAGTTGAATCTGTATGTAAGTCAGAACTGGCGTCCAGATTCAGCCGCTGCGGCT